CATGTTCCCTGGGGCCCTTGCTGTCCCTGCATCTAGAGTTTAAGCTTTGGAGACTTGGATTATAGTCTGTGATTTTTCTGTAGACTAAATTACAGTACAGCAATGTCTGGTCAATGTGGAGAGGCTTTCACTTAGGTGTGTGAGCAAGGAGAGAGCATTCCACAGGATACAAGGGCCTTACAGGAGAGCAAGAAAGGGAGTCATTGTGAAGATCTCTCTTAATTTTGCCTTTGCAAGAGGATGACTTAAGGAGTTGTTTAGTATGTTCTCTCCCTACCCTGGTCTAAGCTTTGTGGACTTTTATAATGGATAACTTCAGCCTATTTTCCATGCTGGTTTTGTTTGCTTATTTAGTTTTTTTATCCCTTTCAACTGGGTGTATGACTCTCTGGTTTTGATCAGTTCAGGACAGGTCTAAATTGCCACTTAATTTTTTTAGTAGCTGGGAGAAATGGATGTGTCCTTGTACACTTTTATCTTCCTCTGTTAACATCTGGAAGGTTATAATTTCACAGTGAAACAGAACTGAGTACTGTAAAAAGTTACAGTTTGGGTCTTTATGCTCACAAAGAGATATTTCAATTGCATTGAAAACTACTGTTGTCTGTATTTATGTGAATAGAGTACTGTTCTCTAATGTTCTTTGTATGCTTCTTTACTTCATTCTCTATAGGATAAGGAGATTCCTGCAAAGAGGTCAAGAACTACTGGATCTGAGGTACTGCTAATTGTTTATTTTTATTTTTATATTTAAAAAAAACCCAACCCCCCCAAACCAAAACCCAACCCTATTCTTCTATTTCCTTTCCATTATTAAGAAATCAAAGAATCATAGAATGGTTTGGGTTGGAAGGAACCTTAAAAATTATCTAGTTCCAACCCCCTGCCATGAGCAGGGACACCTTCCACTAGAGCAGGTTGCTCAAAGCCCCATCCGACCTGGCCTTGAACACTGCCAGGGATGGGGCATCCAAAATTTCCTTGGGCAACCTGTTCCAGTGCCTCACCACCTGCACAGTGAAGAATTTCTTCCTAATGTCTAATCTAAATCTCTCCTCTTTCAGTTTAAAACCATTCCCCCTTGTCTTATCACCACATGCCCTTGTAAAAAGTCCCTCTCCAGCATTTTAGTAGGCCTCCTTTAGGTACTGAAAGACTGTTAAAAGGTCTTCCCGGAGTCTTCTCTTCTGGCTGAACAAGCCCAACTCTCTCTGCCTGCTGTGAAACAGTATTTGTTTTTGCAAGTGTCTTTTCCAAAACGTAACATTTTTTGCAATATTTTCCTTGCCACAGGAGTACCTAAAACTTAGTAGAAGAAAGTCAAAGAAAAAGTGAAACAAACTATGCTTTAAGACAGTGATGTGTGGGAGTGTGTGTCCCCCAACCTTTATCTTGTATCTGTTTGGCCAGTCATACTGCAAAACTGTAACTACCCATCCATGTGAAAGGATGGTCCTAACTGTCTGGGTTCTCAGTTTTGCAATTAGTGTGTGGCACACTGGTGGTTCTACTGTATAACAGTCCCCAGCCAATCCTGCACTATGTATTTCCTCTCCTTCTGCCCTGTGATTCATTCAAGCTACAATGCCTAGGTAATGCTTTTTAGGTTTTCTATTGCTTGATGCCCATTTAATTACTATTTAGTAGATGTAGAATCATGCCTGAAAGATGGATTGTTGAGGAGAAAGAGTATGTGCCAGTAGCCTTTCTCAAAAATCATTGTCATGCAACATGAATTCTTAATTACTGCTCTTTCTGGAAGCCAAGTATTCTGTTTCTTACCTGCTTATGAACACTGTGAAAATACCTGCGAAGATGCAAAGCCTGTTTTATGCAGACTCTAAAACTGTTCGGAACTGCATTTGATGGTATAGTGGGAAGCGTGATAAGTTGTTGAAAACCATGTTTCTAGTACTTTTTTCTGATCTCTGGATCAGCCTATGGAGTGCTTGTGGGGGAAATGCCAGTGAAGCTGAGCAGCTCTTGCTCTGTGGACTTCAGAACTGCTTCACATAACTCCTGCTGTGAGAGAGCTCTGGATTGTGGTTTAGTAGAACTGCAGAAAATGAGCAAAGGCAAATGTACATTCCAGTCTTTATGGGCTTCTGATGTAAGCAAACAAATGTGTAGGCTCTAGGCTTCCCAAATAAGCTTGGTCTTTACTTAGATGGTGAAATGTGAGAGTGCAAATCATTTAGAAAACTCTTTTTCAACATGATCTGTGAGAGTTGGGGAGAAGAGAGAAAATAAAAGGATCTTTGTGTTCAGGAAAGCAGTTCCTTCTTACACTGGGCTCTTCAGCAGCTCTCTTCGCCTTGGCCTTGTGAGAAATGCATCCCTGTGTGCTTGTATGTAGAAGGGAAAGCATAGGTTAATCAGGGGATAAAGGGAAAATGAGGGATTTAATGCTATGTACTGATTTCTGAAGACCTTTGAAGCACTGTACTCCATACTCTTGTGTAGGGACGAAAAGGCTACTTTTTATACCTGGTGTTCAGTTGATCCTTGCTCTGAATTTGGTCAGAATTCAAAGGGTCTGTCCTTTTACCCTGGAAACACAGTAAAATCTTTAAAACTTGTGCTTTTAGGGTGGCAGTTATATGTTACTCTTGACAAGGGCAAGCCCTCTTAAGAGTGTGCATTAAATTATGCTGAGCTGGTGTTTGTCAGATGGCAGTTTAGCTATGGAAAATTAAGATAATTCTGCATGGGTCTCTTCAGTCTGTCTAATCTACTTTGAATTGTTCTAATGCCGGAAAAGAAAGTCTGAAAATAGAGGAGCTTCAGCTTTCAGCATTCATGGGATAGGGGAGTGCACATTGTACAAGCCTCTGTGCACTGTTTGCACTCTTGGCTTGTAGTTCTAAGGGAAATGCTGTGGTTTTTCTGTATGAACTCTACTCAGTAGTACAGCCATTTCATGCAGTGTTTTAGACCTTCCCAAATCTCAATTAAGTTTAAACTTGCAGCCACTGTTGACAGCTGACCCTTTTGCTTTCACAGATATGTTTTGGCTGTTTGAAGACTAGTGAGAAGTTATTTTGAAGGAGAAACTATGCTGAGAGGAATCATATTCAGCTTCAGTCTCAAAATTATATTACCAGCTTGCAGTCTGAGCCTCTGCTTTGTCTTAAGCATTGCAAGCACTTGGAGTCCACTCCTGCCCAAGTAAATCTCTGTTAAAGGTATCAAAAGTTTCACATCTCTGTCTGGAAGAGTGGATGTTTCCCCTGTGGTTACAGTCAAAACTGTCAAAGGCTGATTGTTGAATATGGTCTTCCATGTCTAGCAGGAAGAAGGTTTGAAGAAGTCATAGTTTTCTTTTCAAGAAAAATGTGACATGTTGCTTTCCTGCTGTAGTGAAAGGATTTTTAGGCTACTTGTCATTGTGTGGCTTTTGTGAAGTATTCACATGTCACCTCAGTCAGAGGACCCAGATGTTCTTGAATACAAAGCTTTATTTCAGATATTGGCCTTGGTAAGGAATCTCCCTTGTAGAGATTGTAGTCCTCTGATTTGCAGGCATCCACGAGAGCATTTGGGGGGAAAAAACCCAACCAAAACCAACAAAAAAACAACCCAAACCAGCAAACCCCAACCAAAGCAAAACCAAACCAAAACCCACCTCAAAACCTGAAGAAAAAAACAAGACAGCTTTTGTTGCATCCTGTGGGTTGCACAGTGCTGGAATACCCTTGAGGATTCAGCTGAATTGCTGTCAGGCAAAACCTGCCAATAAATTAACTAGTCAGGTGAGATATAAGAGGTCATCAGAGTGGTCATGCAGTCTGAATGGGTGATCTGATAGGGACCTCATGATTGGAACGGTGTTCAAAGCTCGTGTCAGAGTTGTCTTATGATAGTCAGTATTTCCCATGCAATACAGGTGCAAACTTTGTACTGACTTTGTATTCAGAAGTCTCTTTGTATACAGAAGCCTCTGTAACCTTCTTTGGTCACATGTTTTTTTGGTATATCTAATGTGGGCTGTAGTGTGTCCATTATGTGTGTTCAGGGATTTGTGTGTTCCAAATTTTTGATTATCAGTGAAGCTTTCATCCTGATGCTTGAACTTGCCCAGCCTTTTCCTGTGAATGGATCCAGTAGCTGCAAGCCTTGTTTAATGTTTTTGTAGTTAAACAAATACTGAGAATAGAAGAAATTTTCAATCAGCAGTCTGGTTAAAATCTATGGAAGTAGAGTTAGTTTACTAAGAAAGTTGCATCAGTGATTTGATCAAGCTTAACTTCAAATAAATGATTCATTAAACTTGAGAAAGTCAGTGTTTCATTTGCATTCACATCATGGTTGTACACTAAATAGTTTTGCAGGTGTCCAGCTGATCATTGAGTATTCCTTACACCACTTTTGGGATATCTGTGAGTAAAAACAGTGTTTGTGATTCCCTTTTCACTGTAACATTGGGGAGGTACACTATGAAAAGGCTGCAGGCACTTAGTATTTATGGTGGGCACAGCATTCCTCTTCTGCTATGTGGCATGTTAATTTATACTGGAAGAGTTCCATTGACTTCTCATTTAGATACAGTATATTTGGTCTCCACATGGTGCTGGCATCTGGTTTGTTGTTTGCATTGGCAAATACCTTGTAGTAAGTGTTACATTCGGAATGCTTATAATATAGGTACTCATTTTATAAGCAAGCCCCTTTCCACATATTTGTGGGTACATTTCATGACAGTCCTTATTTTCCTTCTTTATTTCTCTTCCTTTTTTTCCTTTTAACCATCACTCTTTGTTCACCCTGCTGTTGGACTGCAGGTCATCTTTTTCATTCTTATTAGTCCTCAGGTGCGTGCTGCCATGTTCAGTTGCCGACTGATGAGAATCCCTGCAAGACTGCAAATGAACAGACAGAAAATAAATGGAAATTATAGCTGCTTTTTCTTCTGTCTTGTGTGCTCAGGGCTTCTCAGTGAGGAAGGGTCAGCAGCTCCCAAATGCTGCCTTCAGATTTTTATTTTTTTTTAAGCACTGTACTGTAAAAACCACTAAGGTAATTGTAAGCTTTAGCATTTTTCTTCTCCCTGTCATGCAAGGGTGATGGTGAATGGTAATCAGGCCACAAACAGTGGTGGTGTTTGTCATTTTATGAAATTACAGAGTTTCTGTTCCTCTCTTTATCTCTCTTGTTTTGTCACTTTCCTTGCTCAGCATAGGTTGCTCCACTTCTGCACCAAATTAGCCGAACCTCCAGGGTTGAGCATTAAATGTTGCAGCACCTGGGCAAAATCATGCCTTTTCAAAACCCATCCCTCAAATGCACCAGCTAAGGAACTTGGGAAGACTGGGTAAAGAAATAGTTGAACAAGAAAGAGAAAGTTAGGTAAGGAAGAATTGCTTCTGAGAAGGGTGTATGGGAGTCCAGAAGGGCAGGTTGTAAAAGTAGTGTCAGAAATGTGCTTAATTTTCTTCTCCTTCCGGTGATACTCAGGTTTGTAATAACAAACCCTGATCAAAATGAGTTATCTTCTGTAAGAATCTGTAGAACCAGAGCTAGCAGTTATTTTTGGCCATCAGTCTTAGTGGAAAGAACACTGACTCGCAGTTTAGCTGGGTACAGCAGTCTGTATTTTCCTTGCTTTTCTCAATACTTACTGTAGGAATATGTTGAAGTATGTGTCTTCCCATGGCTTTCTTATGTCAAAAAACAAAAAATGTTTCTGTCCTCTGTGTGAAAGGCAAGTTTGCTTGTCTCATCAAAACCAGTGTCATGATGCATTACAAATGACATTCAACTGAAATGGAATGCACTAAGTTGCCAAGCACTGTTAAAAGAAAACACCCAAAAAAGCAAACACTTATTTACGTTCTCCGTGCGTTCCCATGTAACGTACTTAGCGTGTAGTTCTTAGGAAATAAAGGTTGTGATTTGGACATACTAGTTGTTCCTTCTGATGTAATTTTCTGCTGATTTTCATATTCAGTTTTAGGGGTTAGGAAATGCACTTTTGACTTCTCTGTGTTGAGCAAATGGATTACTTTTTTCCCCCTATCACCTCTTCAAGGTATAACAGATCATAAGTACAAATGTCTGACTTGTGTTCACATTAACCCTAAGTCAAACAAGCTACGTAATGCCCTGGGTTGAAAGTCCCTCTGGGCTCCGTCAGGTCATTTCCCAGATGGGTTCTGTCCCTTTTCCTGAACCTAGGAAACTATTTCCCTTTCTTTTCTTGCATGCTCCAGGAGGCTGTCCTTCTGAAGAAGCTGTCAGCCAGCAGTGTTGGCATGAGGCTAGACTGTAGGAACTGCTCCATCTGGCCTGTTGTACAGTCTGTTGTCATGAACTGGAGTTCTTTCTACATTAGGCACTTGCAGAGTTGGATTAAATCTGGACTGCAGCAAGCAGCAATCTCACAGGCAGACCAGTTGACTAAGGAGTTAGATGGCAAACTTTCCAAAGCAATAGTTTTCGTTTCATGAGAGATTTTTTCTGGCACTGGAAGGTGTGTCAAATGGGCTGTTGAAAGTCTCACCATTCCTTGAGGGGTTTGGTGAGGTGGAATTTTTTGTTTTACTGATCTAAAATGAAGATAAAAATATCAATTATGAGATGCGTTCACCATCCAGAACTAACCACTGAATAGCTTATGCAGATGGTAATCTGTGGAGACAGGTGGTGCCTGACACTTGCATTTCTGTTTGCAGCTGAGGCAGGGACTGTTTCGCAGCAAGGGATGGGGGAGAACATTCAAGTGGTCGGAAGAAATAGGTGCTCGGTCTGGGAAAATAAGAATGATGGAAAAATTCAAGGGTGGTATTTAGGCAAGGAGGGAAAAGAGATAAGAAACAGGAGGGGAGAAAGAAAAAAAAAGCCAGAGGAGTATATTTGTCTTTCTGTTTGTCAAACTATCTAGTGTGTGCTCTTCTTTCCACACCAGTGAAGCTGGTCTCAGCACTGTGAAAATATGATTGCCCTATAAATAAAACTTCTTATTTTCAAATGTAAGCACCGCATGAAGTTATTAATCTTCTTGTAAGTGCCTGTGGGAGCTCAGTATTAGAGAGAGCTCTTGCGGGGATTTTTTTGCATACAAATTAATCTGTCAGGCTGTCACATTTAAGACTCTTGACAATTCACATTTGACTGATACCACAAATTATGAAGGCATGGGCTTAGAGCTGTGTTAAAGCCAAATGATTTTTTTGTTTTGAGAGCAGCATTGTATTCATTTCAGTCCAGTTGTTGTCCAGCCCTTTGAGTTGTTTTGGTGAAGACCTGGAATAACTCTTGACCAGTTAAAGCTTAAACCCAAGATCTATAGGCTGTGGAAGCCATTGTAGTAGACCTGGTCAGGAAAAGGTACAGTGACATCTAAACAAAAAAATGCAGGATGGTGGTGGAGGGTGTATAACTCCAGAGTAGTTTTTAAGTTTTCTGCATGTAGCTACCAGTCAGAACAATTCTTCGACCTGCTTGGCAGTTCCCAGAGAGCTTCTTGTCAGCACTGGCTTTCATGCTGTGCACTTCTTTTTTCCAAGTGTTTCCCAGATGGATGTGCAGACTTTATTTGGCTGTATTCCAGCCCTTCCTTTACCTGCTGCTGCATGTATGTTGCTTTGTTCTGACTGCTTCCTTAATGCTGACAGCTTTGAGTTCTCTTTCTCATTACTTCTCTGTTTCAACCGTTCTTATGTATATAAGGTGTCCTTTATGAAACTGATCTGAAGCACTTTTGTCTTTTTACTTCCCCCTCCCATTTTGTTTGGTTATGACCTGATTGGGAAAAGTGATTCCATCCGACATGCCACTGATTGCACTACGGGCACAGTACTTGTGGATGGTGAATATAATTTAAATTTACTGGGGATTTGCTGCCAGGATTCTGCAGAGCTTGTGATCTTATGGGAGAAATAACTGGGTGACAGTTGGGATTTTTCCTTTGCATTCTTACTTTCCACATTCCAGGTTTGTTGGGGAGGAGAAGATCATAGAACCTTTGGAATCAGTTTAATCAGACTGTGGTGTTGACCCTGGAAATGTTAGTTGTTTGTTGCAGCTGCAGGATACGAGGAGCAAAAATACAAATATTTAAGAGTCCTCTGGAACATTAATTGCGCTGTAGTTAAAGAGTTAGTGCAAGTCCTCAGATTTTTAATACCAGTGCAAGTTCTCTTTGGCTATGAAGAGATGTCCCAGGCAACGTGGTATTTTGGGGTTATTTTAGTAATGTGGGAGAAGATAAGTTGTAGACGTTGCTGGGTGGCTTGGTCTAGTTACTCATTTCAACTAATACTTTATTCCTTGGTAGTGCTTAACTCTTGACAGCTTCAGAAGAAGAAACCTGATGGTAGTTACACAGTTTTTCTCTTTGGAAAATGTCACTTTAACCTCCCAGTAAGAAGGGCATAGCTTACTTACTTTCTTTTCTAAAAATGCATTAAAGTTACATGTTTCAGGTTTATTCCCCCCACACTCTCTTTCTTGAAACACCTTTCACTTTATTTCTATTAAGAAGGCGGCTAATGCAAACATGAGGTGTCTGTGGCCCCATGTCCTTCCTCTGCCATTGCTTTTGGATTCGGTTTGTTAACCTTCAACCAGGTTTGACTAAGAGTCAGAAGTGTCAGTTGTTACATTTGCATGGGGTTTTAAAAAATGAATGAGGCAAAAGAACCTGAAGAAATAAATCCTTAGAGGTAAAAAAACCCAACCTAGAACACTGTCCTTTCCAGTGCTTGAGGGAAGCTAATGCTATCCTATCGAAACGTCCAGTCCTCTTTGACTAGTAGACTGAACCACTGCTTTGTGGCAAACCATTCCTTGGACTTTCTGAACATTTTTTGAGGAGCAATATTGATACAGGAATAAAAAATGTCATGTAGATTTCCACTTCTTATAGTTGTTCATATTCTTGAAGGGGTGGGGTGGGGTGGGGAAAGGGTGAACCAAGGAGGTCGAACATCATAGTACGTAATTTTACTTAATGTGAAAGCAGCTGGAGCAGAGAGATGTGATGTATGTTGCTGCTGAATACAGAGAAAATAACTTGTCTAATTGTAAAGTGCTAATTGCAAAGTGGATTTTATTTTCAGTCTGTTGCTGTTTTTTGTTTTAGGTCCTGTTTAACATGATTGTGGAAGTGCCTCGTTGGACAAATGCAAAAATGGAGGTAATTGGGAAAACACCTTGATTATATAGGTATTTGTGAAAGCTATGGCAATACAATGGCTTCCAGTAATCAGAGTGTGGATTACTCTTTACACATAAAATTTTCTCTGTTAAAAAATGAATTTGAAGTTATGCATACAGACACTTTCCTTGAGATTATAAAAAATGTAGAGGTTCTAATTTAGTTTCCCTTTCACAGGTGAGCACTGCTTCTTGACAGTCTTCTGATTGCAGAGTGCAACATACCTGCAACAGCGTCTAAAGTAGTGCCTTGCAGAACATTGTCCAGCATTTAGTCTTACTTTTGCTGCTCATAGAGCATTCCACTCAGAGGATTTAACTTCTCTCATTTCTGCTGTATAGTGTGCTATAGTATAGCGTGCTAGGCCAAATCCTGACAAATGGAGCTGCAAATGAAAAAGCATTTCCTTGTGTCAAAAAAAAGCCCCAAACAAACAACTTGGGGACCTCACTGATTGAAAGTATCTACTCCTGCAGGGGCATATTTTAAAAGAACCTAGCAGGTTGTTCCTCTGCAGTTACAGTACAGAAGCTGAGTAATGCTTCATTTCTTGTGTTTGTGAAACAAGAGACCTCACCAGGATATGTCCTGTCTTCCTGAACATTTGTATTAATTTTAGGGATGCTTCCTGAATGCTTTTAAGGAAGTTTGTGGTTGAGCTGTTAACTGTTTTGATTATTAAAAATAACACCAGAGAACCTCCCCAGCCTTTTTATTTCAGAATTTTGTTTTCTCCTTTCCCAGATGCTGGAAAATAATTTGAACTGTGTTTACCACACTCTGAAAGCAGGGTTACATTGGATATTTACCATGTAGAATCATAGAAAAGAATCATACATAGAATAGAATCATAGAATGGTTTCGGTTGGAAAGGACCTTAAGATCATCTAGTTCCAACCCCCCTGCTGTGGGCAGGAACACCACGTGCTAAACCGTGTCACCCCAGACTCTGTCCAACCTGGCCTTAAACACTGCCAGGGATAGAGCATTCATAGCTTCCTTGGGCAACCTGTTCAACCTGTGTATTTTAAGATGATTCTGTATTTGTGGAAGCTTAGTTCTCTTTTACACCATTTTTCTTTGACAACACTATGAACTGTGCGTAGAGCCCAGGTTGCTCTCCCACCCCTTCTCTCAGCACCTTATGTCAAGGGTAGAAAAGTTTGCTGTCCTGTTAGGTACAGAAATTGGAGGGTTTAGACTTTTCTGGCTTTATAGAAGAGACCAGATGTAGTTCTCTTATGTATAAGTTTTAATATACTTGAAATGTCTTAATCATTAAGGCAGTTGTCTTGCCTTGTCATTGTGTCCTGGCAGTCCTGAAGTCCAGGCTGTGGTAAGGTGCTAATACTGGGTCTTGTCTTCATCTCCATGCTGAGATTCCCTCACGTGGAATGGAGAGTGTAGGAAATTAAACCTTGCCTTTGAATGTTTCCCACTCTTATATCCCCAATGCCAGGTCTCCTGCTCATGAGTTTGTTGTATTTCTGTTATTCTTCCCTTGATTTTACTGAAGGTGCTTTTCATGAGACTTTTGTCTGCTGCTGTCAGTTACTACTCTTCTTATGGGTTTACATCAAGAAAAAGCGTTGCCGAGCTCTGCTTCTGTCAAAGACCCAGGTGGTATATTCAAGGTCTTCACTGTTAAGTTATAACCAGAAGCAGGTAGAATCAAGTAGGAAAGCAGAAATGTGTGAACTTGATCTCAGGTCTTGGGGAGAGTGTACTTGTGGAATAAGCGCACACACAGTTTGGTGTGGTTCAAAAAGGTGGAATTCTTTTGGGATGGCTTTGATAGTGGAGCTTTAGGTAAATTACAAGGTAGTTGTAAAATGGACAAAGGGCTGTGGGCTTATGCATGCAAGCCAAGTGCCACTTGAACCAGTGTAACCGCTTGAGCCTGTAACAAGTGTGATGCCATTCAGATGAGTGTTTCTAAGCAAGAGCCAAGCCAAAAGGGATTTGATTGCCGTGTGAACTGTTAAAAAGATGGTTACAGTGAATTAGCTGATGGGTTGTGGGTAACTCATATGGCAGTGGGTTTGTATTTGAGGTTTTTCGGGGGATGACAACAATAATAATCTGTTCAGCTTTAATTAGTTCAGTCCTTCTATGAGTGCTTGTTTGGCAATAAGAATGCTGCCTTCTAATGCTGGCTTAACTTGTTGCAAATCTGTGGTAAATTGGTGACTATGCAGAATTACTAGAAGGGATTTGTATGGTGAGAGGTGATGGAGAGAAGGGATGCAATAGGAGAGCAATCAACAGAGGGTGAGAAGAAGATGAAACATTTCCCCTGTTCCTGTCAAAGCTCCTATTGTCAGAAGAACTTGTACCACCATTTGCGTGTCTGTTGAATTTGTACTATAAAGTGCAAGAGCTTCTAACTTCAGTTCCTTTCAGTATTTATGACAGTCTCCTTATAAATTTAGGACTTTCTCTTCTAGATTCATTTTTTTCTTGCTTCCTTCACAATGTTATTTAAAACCTTAATAAGCTGCTTTTTGAACATGACCCTTGAGATTTTGAGTGAGGCCATCATACTTTTAATACTTCTCAAACCACAAGCACATGCTCCCAGATGGATCTTTCTAACTGGTTGGGTACAGAATGAATTGCTTTCCATTTTACCATTCTCCTTCTCTCTCTCTCTTTTTCATGATCTGCTTAGATTGCCACTGAGGAGCCGTTGAATCCCATTAAACAAGATATAAAGAAAGGCAAGCTTCGATATGTGGCAAATATCTTTCCTCACAAGGGTTATATATGGAATTATGGTGCCCTCCCACAGGTAACATTTTTGTTATAATGGTGAAAGTTTTCTGTCTTCTATTTAAATTGCCTTGTAAATCTTGAGTACTGCCTGAATGCAAATCAGGTGCAAGAGGGATGTTTCTTTCTGATACATTTGCAAATTAGGATTTTTTATGTTGAGCTTTATTGTGTCTATAAATTTGGATCAGTATTTAGGTGTGGGTGTATATATGTGCTGTGTTTCAGGAAGGAGTTAAATGATCAAGAAATCTCAAATCATTAATCAACACCCCTGTACTGCAGTGGCAGAATTAAACTGTCATGGTCTGCCATTCAAGAATACTTTGTCAAGTAGTCCTTTTCTGCTTAAACAAGGCATTTAAAAAACTAATTTAGGATTTTCAGGAATTGCAGCATAAATTTTAATTGTGATTTGTTAATATCTTTAACAAAGATGAACACAGGGGCTGTTCTTTTTTAGATTAGACATTAACTGCCTTAGTTGACTTTTCTCTGAACTGTGAGACTTTTACTGATCGTGACAGATTTAAAACTTTGAGCCTTGAAAAAGCCCAACCAATGGCTGAGATTTTGAGCATAATGAAAAGTTTTGAACTTTTTTAATTTCTGTGAATAACACATTGGACTTAAATTAGTACCGAAGAACATGATGGAGTTAGAAAAGAGTAATTAATTTTCTTCACACTTAACTACGTAAGGAGTGAGATTTTACTCCTGAAAATGTGCTTATGTGTGTGATCCCTGAAGAGGAGATACCAGGCAGATGTTTGAGTATAGCAATGAAGTTCTTATCCAGTCAGCAGTCTTAGTAGGCAAAGTTTCCAAGTAGGTATAGTTGGGAACCAGAAATTCCATTTAATGTTTTGAAATTCGTGTATGCCTTAGTACAAAGCCAAAATTAAACATTGAGTATTGTCCTGCACAAAGTGCATCATTTTGGACTGGTGACAGTTTCCCCAGGAGAAGTGTTCAGCTTCACTTGTTACCTTGTGAGTCAGAGAGGACTGGAGGTGGTTGTCATTTTCATTTTCTGCAATAACTTTAACATACCAGTTGGATCATTACATCGCCAGTTGCTGAAGTCTAGATGATACTCCAGATTCCGACCAGCAGCTGTTAGCAAACAAAATCCTATTTAGTGTTTCCATTGCCACAAGAGTATTTTTCATGAGGATCAGCAATTGGTAGAAGTTCAACCCTAGTAAATGGCTTAAATATGCGTATTTGTGGCTGCTTTTTTATGCTGTGGAAGAGAGAGAGAAAAAAATGACAGGAGGACTGTAATTGCAGGAGTTGCTATACTGTCCAGAGAACATATCATTCCTAGCAAGCTTTCCTGCTAACCTGCATGTAGAAGGATGCAGTCAGCAGGAGAATAGTGCTGGTATAATGCAGCTTCAGATAAAAAGCACTTTGGAAGAGTATTGGAAAAATAGGTTTTAAGTTGAAATTCTCTCTTAACTCCATTTCAGCAGTTTTTTAGTAACGATTCTGCTACTTAAACACCTGAGCATTTAGGTTTCACTGTTTTGCCTTTTAGTATCAGTCAAGTTCTCAAGAACAAGTTTGAGGTGGGGGTTTGACCATGGACATCAGGAGTTAACAGTACAGCTCCTTGGAAAAAAAGTTTTCTGACACCTTTTCAACAAAACTTCATTGGACTCTGGGAGAACTTCCCAACTTCAGAATGAGTTACTCATTACTAGCCAGCAGGAGACAAAACAAGCACTGGTCTAGTAATTGAGTTAGTATAACTTGGCTATGATTCCTTGTACAGAGCTTGGAGCAGGGATTTGAACTTGCCTCCTGGAGAAGTTGTTTTGGTCTTAAGATGTTGGCTGTTCTTGGGAATGTGCACATCTCAAAATAATTGGAAATATTTTGTACCTAATCTAAAAACTTGAAAAAGCTAATTGGGTGCTGGCACATCCATACCCAGGAGCTTGGTTAGCTCAATGTGTAGGTATTTTTGAAAGCAACTTAGGTTAGCGCCATGGTATTTAAAGAGCATAAGAAAAATGTAATGGTAGGGAGTCTTAGTTTAATCCCACAACCACCTGTAACCAGAAAAATACATATTCAGAGTCCTCTGATGCCTTAATCACTGTGATTTGGTAAAGTGTATCTGTTGAGTAGGGATGCAGTTAATATGTTCATTACAGTGTCCTCAGTAATTCTCGTTGTCCTGAGTATGAGGATGAATTACTCAACATCAGTCCATTGCTTGTTTGTTTGTTTGTTTTTTCATTTCCCATTGAGCAGGCCTGTTCTCAGAAAACTGGTGTTCTTAATGTTGTTTTTATTAATCTTGGTAACTTAATGGTTAGATGAATTGTAATTGCAGATCAGCTGGTAACTGATAACTCTCTTTCCTTTAACAGACCTGGGAAGATCCAAACCATACAGATAACAATACAGGATGCTGTGGGGATAATGATCCTATCGATGTTTGTGAAATAGGTTCAAAGGTTTGTTTTTTATCCCCATAAATTTAACTAACCAAAGTTAATTTAATAATTTGGTAACAACTTTTGGAAGAGAGGGGCAGATGGTAAGAGTCTCAGGGGATGACAAAAGTAAGAATAGAAGATCTGAGGAGGGGATAGGTAAGAAAATGGTGAACTTTTAAAAAAGAGAAAAGAAACAGGGTTTGGTAAAGTCTATGTGCTGGATAAAAGAGGCCACCACCCTGAAGTTCTGTGGCTGGACCGTGAATTTTGGGTAAAGGAGAAAGGGATTACATTTTTGGAGAAGAAAAAGATTTCTCTTATTTTTATTTTTTTTTTTTTCCTCTTAGCAGTGCTGGAACTAGAAGTAAGTTTCAGAAAGATGAGGAGGTATGTCAGCGTCATGCACATAAAATTACAAGGTCAGGCCCACAAAGGAGGTAGATGGGTGCAAACAGAAGTAGATCCCACTTCTTTAGAGGAGAAGACAGGAACCTGTTATACTGTTGCAGTTATAATACATGGAGTGGATGGATGAAAAAGAAGTGCAGCTAACACCATTAGTAGGTATAGGGGAAAGGGTTAGCTCACTGAAAGAAAATTCTACATATCTGGAGGCAGCAAAGGATGGAACAAGTCTCTGTGGTATCAAAGATGGGGTTACGAAGTGGATGAGTTCGGAAGAGAGATCTCTTGGTGTATTTCAAGTAAGGGGAAATTTAATTGGTGACCTTGGTGAAGGTGGCTTTATTTGCAGAAAGGAACATAAAGCTGAATCTCAGGGGTTTCGGAAAGAGTTATAAAGGGAATATTGGTTGGTAAGGAGAAGGTTCCCAAGAAAATGAAGATGAAAGTTGTGCTGATATTCCTGGCGACAGTGTGTGTTTGTATGTGTATATTGGCATCTAGAGGAAGGAACAGCAACAGGTAGATTAAGACCAAGAGTTAAGAAAGTAGAGTCAAGAGGCAGGAAGGAGTTAAAAATGAGTATGAGATACTTTTGACTTGCAGTTTTGGGTGAAGATCAAGGTTGTTGGAGGAAGTAGAGTAGAAGAGAAGGAAAAAATTTCTAGCTTGACTACTTAAATGCTGACTGGAGAATTGAGGGTTGAAGAATAGCAGTGGTGGAAGAAAGGCTAGTAATGTTAAATAGGTGTGTACTGACTTCACAGATCTGTCTTGCAATTCTGTTAGCACCTGGTCAAAAATAAAGTAAAACTGTTTTGTCTGTAAGGTAAAAGAGAAATTCTGTGTAGTGTTTTTCAAATCTTTGTGAACTGTTCTGTTTCAGGTTCGTTCTTCTGGTGAGATTGTTCAGGTGAAGGTCTTGGGTGTTTTAGCTCTTGTTGATGAAGGAGAGACAGATTGGAAGATAATTGCTATCAGTGTGGATGACCCAGATGCTCACAAAATCCATGGCAAGTATTTTTTGTCTTAATGTAAGTTACGTTAGCAGCTTGTACAGTAGAATGGTACCTGAGTTTAGGTCACTCAGGACAGGAAGAGGCAGAAAGGCAGAGACTTTTCTGGGTATTTTTGTTGTTTAAAACAGATGCTTCTTTCAAGGAGGGCATATATGCTTTCACACTAAGCTTTTTAAAAGGTTCACTTGGATTTTCAAGAGGACCTGTCATGCAGAAAATCTCCTGAATTCTGAAACACAACTGCCTTAGAAAATGACCCTTTAAAATTACAAGCTTATCTCCTGTGTAATAGTGCATATTTACCCACGCAGATTATGTAGCACACTGCTGTTTTCCTTGTTGAAAGTGCTTGTTCCTTTTTTATTTGCAGACATTGTGTTGCATTTTGAAAAGGGCTGTAACATTTCCAATGCTTTGTCACTTGTAACTGGGTTGCTTCCAGGGTTTGTTGCCTAGTATGAGCAATTATGTTTCACCTTTTAGCTTGAAAATTTGCAAAGTAAACTGCTAATGCAGCTTACCCTAATATAAGCTTTGATGATGACTAGCTGTGCAGGAGGAAGTAGTCTGTTTGAACTTGTCCGCCTTGTCACCATGCTGCTGGTAGACACATTTTAGTACCTGAATTCCATTTGGATATGTGACTAGCACGTGAGGTGTAATTCTGCTTGCAGACTGGTCGGTAAGATGGTACAGATGTGTTAAAACTAACTGCAGGGAGTTAGGTTTTTGCAGCTCAGGTGAAGTACAGCTTTTCCCTGGATAAATGGAGGTTCACTTCCTGAAATGCAATGTTACGTGAGAATTAAGTGAGTGGTTTTGTCTGAAAGTTAGTGGTTGTTATGAGACAAAACCCCATATATACCATGAGGTTATGTACATTCAGAGCCTCTTTGTTGGTAAGGAGCACCAAGGCACAGAGTGGTCTTCCTGTAGGAATGTAGCTACTGCAAATTCAGTAGCTTTTTGAGGAACTGTGTTTCTCAGCCACTGAGGCCTTTTCCTGGTTTCTGAATGTAAAGTAGGTATATCACTGGTCTGGCCCTTCGTTCTCAGTTTTCTTGCAGGTTGCTTTCACATGGAGAATACTTGGCTTGTGGGGAAAGAAAGGGAGAAGAGGAAATGAGGAAAAGGAAACTGGGGTTGATGCTGATTAAAATCATTGGGCAGATGAATTACTACATAGTGTTTATGACTAACTACTTTGACAGTTAGAGATTAAGAAGTTCAACTTGAGGAAATAGTAAGTAATAGTTTGCTGTTAATGTTAATATCAGTTTAAACCTCTCTAATGTGCAGTGAAATGCTATGTGCCAGTACTTAAAAGACAAGTAACTTAGCACTCTATTTGTATACACTGTTCTGTTTAACTCTTTACCTTTTACCTTAACAATTTCTGAGAGAGTTTAATCAGAAAAGCAGGTGACAATTTAAATGGAATCCACTAAGTAAGGCAAGACTGGGACAGTTTATGCCCCTGGGTCAAGTAACTCTATTTAGAAGTCTCTTTTGTTTTTTCAGGTAATGACTGATTTCTGTCAGCTCTATTACAGCTTCACTTTGTTTGGGAGGGAAGTAAGAGTTTTAGTCTTGTTTAAAGAAAAAAGGAAAGAGGGGGTGGGAAATGGGCAAACTATTGCCTTGTAGCGCCTCTGTTTATCCTTTCTTAGCAGTGAGTAGGTGCAAACCTTCAAGAAGAGAACCGTCCTTCTGAAGTTCAGAGAAGTGCAGAAATATTTATCCAGTTTAATATGATTTCCCTTTGGGGATTAGAGTTGCAGTCCAGGATTTACAAAAGGAAAGAAAAAGGAGGGAAAAAAAGCCCCCATCTGCTTTCACAAAACATGACCAGCTTTCAGTGCTTAACAGCAATCCTTCTTCAGTCTGAAAACAAACAAATCTGTTGGAGTAGGCAGTACAATATGTCCTTTTATACTTGTTTTTCCCCCTTCCCAAAGATGTTAATTATTTCAGCGTAAAGGGATAGCAGCTACAGATAAAACCAGTATCTCCCTCGATAATTGACATGCTGCTGTGTTACAGTGGTAGCCTCCTAGAGAGAGATGAGGCTGAATGTTGCCTTGTAAGTCTGTCCAGTTGTTTTTATGTCATTTGTTAAACATTTCGAGTTGGACTGAGAATCATCACATTTGCTTTCAGCTCAGTATGTGCACAGCCCCCAGTGAACATTTGGAAAAGATAATTCCGAGACACCAGAGTGGTGATTACTTGCAAACCCCATCCTGAGCCCGCGCAGTGTGTTAACTCCTCCTGCTGCTTTAAGCACACCCCAGGTACTCTGTATATTCTCCTTCTGGGATTGTGATCGTTCTTGTAAGTGCAATTGATTTTTCTGAGACTTCACAGAACTTAAAACTGAGCAGTCCCAACTTCTGAGCAGTTCTCATTGTTTATTCACAGCACTGCACTGTACTATGTCCTGCAGGCATTTATTGATAAATATTGGTTTAAATTGGGAACCCTGCCTAGAACTCTCTCTTTCACACAGAGCAATGAGAAACTAATTTATAGTGACAATCCCAGGAATGATAAGCAATGCTTCGCACCTATTCAAGCAGGAACTGTCTTATCAGTGGGAATAGCAGGGATTTAGTGTCTTTCTGGACTGACTTTGGAAGATAATTTGTTTGAAATTACAGCACTTATACTGGTGGACATGGGGACAGTCTCACTCCAGACACAAGCTATACATCAGGTACATGTATCTGTATAAGCAAGTTTCTTTCAGATAAAACTGGACATCTTGAGATTTATCTATTTCAGTAAGATCTTTCTTTGTGGCTACGTGAAAACCACTGTGTTGTCTTTCTGCTCAGGCAATTGCTAGGCAGATGGCCATTAGCAGACCAGCAAAGCAACTTCAGACCAAGCAAATCTGGGAAAAGGCCTAAAAGCTCCCTGCACACTGAAACATTAAATCTTGATGGTATAATAGGCCTGGCTGCTTTTGTTGTTGTTGCTTTTTGTAAAATCCTAGCCAGGAGAAGAAGCAAATTCTTGGAGTGGAAAGGCTGCTTGTCTGCTTATCTCGTAATTGGGATTGAATTTAGTATATTGGAATTTCCATATTTATCTGATGTGCTTTACAAGGTTGGGCTCAGAAAGGGTGAGCGATATTTTCATACTGTAATTTGGTCATCTTCATGTTGGACAAGAGGTTTTGAAAATCACTGGCAGTTGAAGTGGGAAGTGTTTGAAGCAGCTTATGAGAAGTGTGACTCTTAAAAGGTCATCTTGAGCACGTGGGACAAATCATGTGTGCTGGACAGGGGTGATTTACTGGCCTGGAATCTTAGCAGTAATTTTTTGCTATTGCTGATTGAAAAGATGCCTGGATATATTCAACAGTAGTTGATGGTGTCTGCTGGCTTTGTTGCACTACTGTTTGCTGGTACTGGTATAGTTAACTGTGCTGTGTTGCCCCACTTCTTTTCTGATGTGCAACTCAAGACTGGCTTTTTTTTGTTAAGTGATCAAACCCTAAATGGCAAAACCAAAGCATATTGCATACATAGACCCATGCATGTGAGTGTATTTATATGCAGAGAAGCGGCAGAGGCCCTGAAAAACCTTTGTTGTGGGTTTGTGTAAGCATTCAATATAAAGAAATTAATTATCTGTACTGAGACTCCCCTCCTACCCCCTCACACCATGCTGCACAAAACACACCAAATGCCTTTATATGGAATGTAGCTGCTGCTTCCTGTAAATGTTTATAAGATGTTATTAAAAACATATGTCCTCTCTTCCCAGAGACCTTGTTTAGAAAGCTTGCTGCAAGCATGTTGTTTTAGCTTTGCTTGCAAGAAGCAGCATCTGTTGTACTAAAAATGGTAGTTTTGTACAAATGCTTTTGTTGCTCTCTTTTGTAAAGCCAGATAGAATTGGGATCCACGTTTGCATTGGCTCACTCTTTTCACAGAGACCTAGGAGCAGTTGTTTGTACCATCCTCAAGAGATTTTCCTCATTCAGGCTAAACTGCAACCCTTAACGTGATTAGCTGTCTCTTTTAACCCTTGGTGCTTAACTTTGTTTCCAAGAAAGATGAGACCTGTGGTGGTATGTAGGCAATATAAAGAAACTGCTGCCTAGAGCCCAGTGGGTACATGCTGATAATGTACCTGCAGGAGCTTGACCTTTGTGCTCAGTCACTCTGAGCAGGACTTGTTTGCAGAGATGAGAAACAACATTAGGCCAGGTACATGCTTGCTACTCCTATACTTCCTCAGCCCCTTTTGGCATCAGTGTGAGTACATAGCTCTAAGGGAAGGTAAGCAGTCAAGGTCAGAAAAAAGTGCCTAACAGTGTCTGCTTCAGAAAAGACATCTAAATGTTTTTTTTAAATTGTAATATGCAGCTAATCTCTATAGATATTAGTGGAGCGAATCACTGTACTGCTTGTTGTGATCTTTTCTTTTACCTTTCTTGGCTTATTCTTCTGTTTTCTGAGTATGTGTTTCTTTTTCTGTCCCTGATATCCCAAAGTGGGTGTTTGGGTTTCAAAGTGGAGGAGAAGCTAGCTGTATTTCAAGCTTTTCTATGGTGCCTTTTAATGAACTGAAGAGGTAGCTGTTGAGTGATGCAAGACCTGCTGTTTTCCTTGTATTTTGTGCTCTGTGCTGACTCCACAGCAACAAGATTGATTTTTATTCTTTTTTTTTGGTTACACTTTTGCACTTTTTCTTGGTGTTTGCTGCCAACTCCCATCATAGTGCAGGTGTTTTGGTTGGTTTATTTTTTTTCCTTCAACCACTTAAGCTTCATTTGCTGCCCAGTAGCTGTCCTTCATAATAAAGAATAGTGAAGTGAAGCATGGGGATGAAGAAGAATAACTTGCAAGGAACCAAGGAAATAAAAGCAACCACTGTCCCCCTTCTTAAGTCCTCAAAACCAGAATATGTAACAGCCAGGACTTCAGGGGACATATAATAAAGCTGTAGCCTGATTAGGTGTAGTCATTTTACCTAGGCAAGGCATTTTCCAGGAGAGAGAGTGTGAAATTCAGAGAGATGATTCTATCTGTAAAGATAGTCATCCCATCCAGGTAATGAAAGCCTGTCCCAAAGCCTGTTCTAATGTTTGAGTCCTTTAGAGAAATATAAACAAAGCCTATAAACAACAGATGGGGAAGGGCCCAAGTTGTCAGCAAATGGCAAAGCACTTCTGAAGAACAGTTTTTATGGGAGTAGGAGGCAAATAACCAAGTAGGAAGAGTGGAGAAACAGAGTTAGGAGAGAAGTTTGCTGGAACAGGACTGAGAAGAAAGGAGGAGCAGTCTGAGAAAGTATGCTTGAATTTAAGTAATGTCTGGAGATGACGATATGGAATTCATCCACTACTAGGAGCCAAGGAAATTGCTGTAGCAGCCTAGTTTGCTTTACAGACTTGACGAAGTACTGTGTCTTCATCATGTAGTAGAAATTGTGAGTTCAAACCTCACGAGGAGGAGGGATGTTGCCTTGCTTGAAAGAACAGGATGATTCACTGAAACTGATTTGAATTGGAGGTGAAGTTTTATTAGTGCCCAAATGAAGCATCCTGCCTCCAACCAGGACCCTTCCCTCTTCTAAATCATTTTTTCTTGTTTGGTCTCACCCACCTACCCCAGTGAAAGGCTTCTTGTATTCTTAAACATCCATTCCAGCTAGAAAACCTGCCTCTAGCACAGCCTTATGTGCCTTTGCTTTTTTCTGGGATTCTGCCAATAAAACTCCCTAATCTTCTACAGGCAGATAGCCAGCAGCCAAGTTCAAAATGTGTATTACTCCGAGTCCATAAACACGTAGCCCTATTAAGTGTGTGCTGAAGCAAAAATTTACATAAGGTTCTTCAAAGTTTTATGCTTCATTCTTTGAGTAGAGTGTGATCCAGTGGAATTTGGGAGTGGCATCTATCAGATGTCTCTGAACACTCAGCCTATGTTCTCACATAGGTTTGATTTCACAATTCAGTCCACTTGTCATCTCTCTTGGTGGTCCACAGAGAATTGAATGGTTGGCAGCACAGGATTTTTTTCCCTTCTCTAACTCTTCTCTTTAAAAATACTCAAATGTCTTTGTTCAGGTTCACAGACTAGATTTTAAAAAGACATTTAGGCACTTAAAGATGGAAAGCACATGCCTGTGTCCATTGTGTGGACTAAGCAATTCTGAAAATCTGCTTTATAGGACTGGATAGACAGAAGAGTTTCATCAGGAATCACTGCCAACCAGAAGATGTCAGTGAGACGTATCTATGGGAGAAGAGAATGAAGTAGCCAAGCAGTATTGAGAGAGAGCAAGAGGGAATTGGGAAGGGACAAATGAGCAAGTGGCTTGCAAAACACTGGAGAAGAATAACACCATAGAAGGTGGCCTGGGCAGAGTGAGGTTGTGAAATAGCTGGAAGACTGCATGTGAAGTACAGCAGTGAGAAGTCAACTCTTGTTTTCATCAGAAGTGACTATAGGAAGGAAAGAGATCAAAAGAGAAGGATTACACCAGCTACAAAAAGTACTTGGCTTCTGAAAAGGACAAAATCCTTTATTGTATCAAAATCAGTTAAAATTGTAAACATACGGCCAGGGAGTTAATTTACCAAGGGGCTGATAGGACCAGCTAATTGCAGGTAACAGGAGTGATGGTAGTCTCACAGGTCAAGCCAGTAATATTGGATATACATAGCAGAAGTAAACATTTAAGATCCTGAACTGTGTCTTCACTATAACAGTATAGCCCTTGAGCAGAATTACTGTGTGGCTGTTTAATCTCTCTGTACCCACTGTGGCAATGATCCGTGGCAATGTTCATCTCTGCCTCCTAGGAGTATCCTGCAGATGGCATGCATTCCTCTGTGTCCTGTTCCATCTTTGCATAGTAAGATTATACAGGTAAAGGTAGAATTCGCTTGTCACTGTGAGTATGCAGATACCACAGGGTTATCAGTAGTTAGTGTTTAGTGCTCCTGACACATACCTGTTTTCTATGTAAAGGGCTGAATTAGAAAGTAATGTGAGCAAAGGGGTGCCTTTAATGCAACTTTGAGAAGTCAAGCCTGTGGTTTTTTTTGAGGTGCTGGTTTGAAATCCATGTGTTGAAATTGTTTTTACTAGCTAGTCTTTCATTATCAAACAAGTGCTTGTAGTCCCTGCAGTTGCTGGGGAAAAAAATTACTGAATAATCTAAGTATTATTGCAAGAGGTACCTACTGAGATGAAAGCCTATAAATATGGAATTTTCTTCCTCTCCTGTCATCAAGTATGGTCCTTTTATTCATTGTCCCTTTGGGTCTTAATTAACGAAGGGCAGGAGGCAACTGGTTTTCCTGTTTGTGTGGTTGTGAAATCATAAAATATCAACTATGGACAGCTAATGTAATAAAATGAAGTTCCCCAATGACTTTGAAAGTGCTCAGTGAAATCAAATTGCTTGCAGATCCTTTATGAGACTTTAAAAAATGAATGTTACAAAAACTGTGATTAAAAATTACTAGTCCTTTTTTTTTTTTTTCTTTTTTCTTTCCTTTTTAACCTACAGATATTGATGATGTCAGGAAATACAAACCAGGTTACCTTGAGGCTACGGTTGACTGGTTCCGAGCATATAAAGTCCCTGATGGTAAACCACAAAATCACTTCGCTTTTAATGGAGAATTTAAAAACAAGGTGAAGATAATCCAAAATTAAAGATGCATTTTTCTGTCATGTGGCCTCTTTAATACAATGCTAGAGTATTTGGAATTGCAAAAGAGGAGGTTTAACTAAAAGAATTTTTAAGAGGAATCCTTGAATACAATTTATTACGCTAGGAATAAATAGTTTGCTGTCTTCCATTTTATCAGGAGAAAATACATAGGTTATTAAAGGAAGTCCTAATCCTGACAAGACTTACACACACATCTGTGTTTGTAGGTTGTTTTTTTCCTCACAGCATTTTCATCCTCTCTGTCAAAGGAATGAACAGATTGTCTTTACAGGTATTTTTTTCAGTCCTGATTGATAATTTTTCCTGATTTTTTTTTTTTTTAAGGCTATGCGGTTTCAGACAGACAGTGGTTTGTAGATTTTTCCATGTTTGATATTTGCTCAAGGTATACTTTTTCCTGCTAATTCTGTGTGAAAACATTTGAACTGGTTTTGTCTTGAAGGCTGAAAAAACATTTTCCCCTTTCTTAGAAAAAATGAATGGCTATCTTTAAAGCTATCTACAGTAAAACTGGCCCCAGTGTTTGAAAGGAGAGTGAACCTGGAATAGACCTTGCTGAAGAAAATACTGGATTTTTTCAGTGCAAAATTGGGTGTGATTTGAGTAGAAGTGTTTTGAAAATTGTGTATTGCACACTCTGTAGACTATTTTTGGCAAAGAATCACGGGTTTCCAATGAATGATGCCCATGTGTCAGCTAGTTTGGCCTTGCAGTGTGCTGTCAAAGTTATAAAATGCCTTCTAACCAGCACAGGCAACTTCACATGTTTTGTCTGGTTAAAGAGATGTCCTGAACTCCCCTCTGCACTAAACCTGTCTTTTAAATCAATCAAATATAGAGTTGTAAGGCTTGATAACTTGATCTCTCCCCTGTTCTCCCAGGAACTGCTCTTAGAGATTTTCCTGCTCTGTAAAGCAGTGTGTTGCTCTGTAGTGATAGTTTAATGGGTATATCCCTATCAGGCCATTGGAATTCAGGCTTGAGGCACTAAATGCTCTCTGAGATAGCTGGTTTGGGGCATTTGAATAATTCTCAGAGTGAGACCCAGGATGTGGCAAGGCAGCTGTGGCTGTGCTCCAGCAGCTCTGGTGAAGTTCACAATGTTCCAGTGGCATTTTGCCAATTCACTCCTTGTTAGGAAGTGTGAATGTTCTCTTGGCAGCTTTCTGCAAGCCAGTCTAGATATCATCTAGACACACTGTATTTTTTGAGGCTTTTTCGTCCCCACTCCCTTCCCAATATTACTTTTGTTTTAAACAAACACAAACTGTCAGGCAGCTGGCATGTTACGTTAGTGTAAAAGCTGAAGTGTATGATTGGGCAATTAATGAAGTAAATGCAAATTTTGCCACTGGAGGGGAAACCTTAACTCTGACCCTGATGTGCGTGTGTAACAAGGAGGCATAACTAGCTCACTCACTTTGTCCCACTTAGGACTTGGTACAGTTTTCTCCAGCTGTAGGTGTCTGAGTAGCATATAGTGCTGATTTCTTGGGGTTATTTTTATATGCAGCCTTTTTGTTTTCTGGCTGCAGGCTGAGGGAAAGTCCTGAATGTGTTACCAGTGTCTTTGACAGATAGTGAAGTTTGTTTCTTTTCATAAAAAGGGTGTTACATTTTCCAGAAATTTAATGAGGCCTCAAAGGAGGCCCCTTAAAATGACACATGAATCATTATGTTTTAATAAAAGTAGTTCTGTGGCTTTTTTTTCCTGTTTAATAACATTTTAATTCATGAAACTTTTCATTGATGCAAACTAGGATTTTGCTGTTGACATTATCAAATCCACCCATGAATACTGGAAAGCTTTGCTTCATAAAAAAGCTGATGGAGGTGATGTTAAATGGTAAGTATCCAGTCTTTTCCTCTTTCTGTTGTGCTGGTACTGGTGGCGTTCAGCATGTGGCAGCTGTGCATTAACTGCTTAGGTTTTTTTTTACTTTGAGTTGACAGGAATACTCATGGTTTTAATTGATAATTGATTGGTACTAGACTCCAATTGACTAATTGCACCTTGTATGACAATGATTTATTGGTAAATGGTTCCAAAAATAAGATGATTATATAGAAATGGTATAGATTACTTCAGCTTCTGAAAAATGGACCCGGAATGTTTGTTCAGGACCATTTTGGGAAAATCTAGGTATCCCATGCAAATCCTCTTGTCACTCGTTATTCCGTGTTTCAGTGCTGCATTGCTGTGTTGCAAAATTCTTTTGCAGCTTATCGTTCCATATTTTTCAGTTGTTCTCTGGAATGAGAGAACCAAATTAGTGTTCTTCACTAGCCTTTGGCCTGATCCAAATTAAAATGGACTTTATTAAGCTCTATGGACTGGTTCATTTTGGCAGTTCTGGCACCAGAGGCCCTGAACAGCAGGCAGGTATCTTTGCCTGCTGCTTTCCAAGGCCTGTAAATTGCCATTAGCTAAACCAAAGGGGAAAGGCGCTCAAGATAGTCACTATCATCTTCTACTTTATTGGGAAAATGTGACTTTCTCTATTTTGGAGCTGCTTTCTTTCTTAGCAGTTGGACAGGATGGTCATTCTACTTTAGCATGGCAAGAATAGTGTAGAATAATGATCATATGTCAGTCTTGAGCATTTCAGAGGCATTTTGAGCTTCATGTTGATGAAGTTGAAAAATAATTAGAATAGCACCATTCCTTTGAGGAATTGAACTTCTTGCTGTTTTCTCTTTAAGACCTTGAAAACTCATGACCAAACTCACTTTTGGTATGAAAGAATATATATTCATAGGGAAACATTTCTGCACAGTGTTTGGTCCCAGAGTTTGTGTGCTTTCTGGAAGCAGCACAGGTATCTGCTGCTTTACGTAGGAGCAGAATTTTGACCTTTTTTCCCTTCTTGTTAGATACTGCAGGCAGGCTACTGCAAACCACAGCTCCTGCCATAGAGTCTGGCCATCCTTCAAGGCACAAGAGACAGGGGGTCGTTTGCACCATCTGTGCTAGCCATCCATCTAGGTCTTCTTCAACTACCTCAGAAAGTGCTAGTTTATCTCTGCTAACTTTTTTGGGGGGGTTTAGTTTCTTAACTGTGGTCATCTGAACTTTTCCCAAGTTAGCTGCCAGAAGCACTGAGTGTGAGCATTGCTTGCAATAATACAGAATGTACATTAAGGAACTCCCTCAAACCCACAGAAACAAAAAACACCCCTCCACACCCACTTTCCTTTCCAGCATCATTGGTTACTCTGTGTTTTTTGAGTTCCTCATTTCTTGCAGATACACATTTCTGAGCTCTACCTGAAGGTATTTTATCCCCATAGGTATTTAACTGTGTGTATGTCTCTTCCACTGATTGATAGAACATGTTTTTAATTCTATTTTTCAGCACAAATGTTCTGGTGAGGGACAGCCCATTTTGTTGCAGTGAAGAGGATGCCCAATCAATTGTACAGTCGGTAAGGATAATACCTATTTTTTTGTCCCACCCTTTTAAAAGAAATGATTAATAGGAAAAGAAGATTCAGAGCTCCAAAACAGAAATCAAATAGCTCAACTGAAATGGTCCTTAAACAAAAATCCAAGGCATAAAGTGAAAGAGCACAAAGCTTGTGAGGGAAATGTAAGCCTTATAATATAAACCTTTCATTAAAGTGGTCCAATTGTTGCTTTCTGGCAGGTTCATTACTGTTCTGGTGTGTGTGGGGTTGTTTTGTTGTTGTTTTTTTCCTTTGGGTTTTCTTTTTCTTCTTTTTTTTTTCCCTCTGCAGTGCTGTTTCTTGTGATCCTGAATAGCAAGATGGACTGCTATTTGTATCTCGCCTGCTGTCTTCTCTGTCTCCCCTGTTGCCATGAGTTACCACCCAGTGTTAGAACTCATTGACTAGCTGACTGTAGTCCCTAATCACTAAAGGGATCCTTTGTTTGTCTACTTGCATAATTAAATACATTGCTGTAAGAGAAAGGGATGCTTTTTTGAATGTTTCTTAAAGAATGCTTGTCATATTCTGAGGATTAACATAAAATTAAAACATGCAGGTTTCCTGTTCAGGCAAGAAAAATGTCCTGCAGGTCTGATGCTTTCATGTGCAAATGCTACTGGAGGAGAATTTCTTCCAATTTAAAATACGCTAGTTTGGATGCCAGAAATTAAGCAAGGTTACCAGAAATTGCATGGAAAAAAAGTACCCCCAAGTATTACTTTTCTTTCTTTTTAAATATATGCCATGACTGAGCCTGTGCTTCTGCACATGTGCATGGCTGCCTGAGCACTCACTGGTTTGTTCCACTAGTCACGGTTATTACACAAATTCAGGTGTCAAAGGAGACGCCATCCACTGTCTGCTCAGTTAACATTCCAACAGCATTTCTAGTAGGAATGTGTTGTCCTGAGTGGTGTTTTGTCACAAACAAATAAGACTGTCGGTTGCAAAGAAAAGTTGGTTTAAGTCATAAGGAAGTGTAAAACCTAACTGGTTTTCTTATTCAGGTCTCTTGCTTTCAGCACTTCTTTAAAAGTACCTATATGGTTGCACTTGTGAGTGTTGATTAATGGGACTGTAAGTTTTAAATTAAAGAAAAACTCATTTTGGAATTCAGATATGGTTTTAGACTTGTCAGTCACAGCTATAAGCAAATACCTCCTCTGTACTTCGAAATTTACAATAACTTTTAGTGAGTGTTTAAATGCAACTAAAATTTAAAGTCAGACATATTTGGATGGTGACAAACCTGCAAAGGAATATTTGCTTTTGTGTTATGTGCTGCTTGTACTTTGAAGCAAGAAGGGTAAATAATTATCTGTTTAAATCAGCATTATCTGTTGTTTTGTCTCTTAATAACAAATCGATTTTTTTCCTACAGTTTGGGGGAAAGTTAGTAAAAACAGTTAATAAGATAGGTACCTTATATCAAACTTTAATGTCTATTTTATTGTGAACACTTTAATAACAATATTGCTGCTTCGTGGCTTTTCTGTGCCTCACATGGTTTTGTTGGGGGGTTTTGTGAAGTTGTCATCATGTACTCCTTTCCATCATTCTGTTTCAGTTCAGTCTAAGTATTTTAATTGTGTCTTTGTAGGGTACTGTCTCTTGGTACTTTTCAGACAGGGAAAAGATGCAATATTCTTCTAAGTACTGTTCATACTCCATTTTACAGCGAGAAACATTTCAGTTACAGCAACATTTCTGAGGTACTTGTGCAGTGAGAGCTGTTTCCCCACAATTTGGTGTCCTGGGTCAGACTCCAATTATGAAATTTTTGAGTGGGTGACAATTGCCGTAAATCAGGTATCTTGAGTTCTCAAAAAACCCCAAAAAACAAAACCAGCAAAACCCCCACCAAAATCCAAAAGGCAGCACTCAGTATTGTTATGAAACAATTTTTATGGTGAGCAAAAGAGCTATAAGTAAGAACCAAATGGAAACCAAACAAATCCTTACCAAATGCTTACCGAATTGTGCACGAATTAGAATTTCATATAGATTTTGATTGGGTAGTTCCCAACACTGTCCTGTTGATTTCAGTAGGATTTATTGTTCTATTATTTGACCTTCCGTTATTTTACAGGTGTGGGATTAGAATGGCTTGGCTGTATTGAGGAATTTCCACTCCACTGAGTTAGTTTCTGGATGGTGGGCATGTGTACTGTCATCTGTATTGGTGGCAAACTAGGAGTGATTTGCTGATCAAGTTGCCATGTCCAGTCAGTCTCAAAGAAATAGGATGTAGTCTGTGTACTGACCATTTGAACCAGCCAGAATTACATCAGCCCTCTGCAACTACAAACCTAGTCAAGTTTTAACACTGGGTGGGGAAAACTTCTAGTGTTCTATAGCATCTGAAAACTGTTTCATCTCTTTTGTGGCTCCAGTGTTAGTATATGTTGAAAACTAAACCGAGGAGGAATAGAGCTTTTTAGCTCAATGTGTTACTGCTAAGATGTACTGTTTATTTCAGGCTTTTAAGTGTTGCCATCTGTAAAACTGTCCAGGACAGCCAAACCTTTGTTTAACATTAATCCTGAGAACTGCTTGCTCACTTGCTCTGTGAAGAAGCTGCTGAGGACTTTGCAAGTTGGAAAATCTCCACGACAATCTATATATAGTTAGTAGAGCAGCGTTTCTCAGACTTAGCACATAATTCTTCCCTTATAATACTGGACAGACTGGAAAGTGAACTAGGAAAGCTTTTCTAGATGACATTTCTTTTGATAAAATGCAGAACAGTTTCTTACAGGGGAAAATACTTGGCTTTTCCTGATATTTCAAAGAAATGTCCAACAAAATTTGGATCTGTGTATTTACAAATGTGTATCAAATAATTCGGATCTAAGCAGGGAAGTCAGTTAAATGTCTTTCTCCCTACATGTTTTCTGTGAGGACATTTCCCTTTGGGACTAGGAGAGGCAAAATTTTCTGTTCAATAGCCAGTGATAAAACAAAAGATTGGTGGGGTTTTAGCCTGGAGTTTGTGAGTTTGTTTTGGGTTTTTTTTGGTTTTTTTGGTTGGTTGGTTGGGGTTTTGTTTTCTTTTTTAATATATATCTATTTTATTTATTTTATTGGTTTTTAAATAGTGTTCCAGATGAAAGGGTTGCATAGTGAAAAGACTCCTGGTTCAGTGGGATGAGGTTTTGATCTGGTCCTGGTGAGAAGGTGCTGAGTCCTTATCTCAGACTTTCAGAGCAGTTACCCCAGAAGTGGCAGGTACCTGCTTCTATGCAGTGACCACTGGTTCTCCCTGCCTTATGTGATAAAGCTTTGGTTTTGCTGGAAGGAGAGAGGATGCTCTGGTGATAAAGCCTGGAAGACCTGGGTTACATTTGTCATGCTGGCACATCCTTTCAGACCAGTCACATAACCCCCCTGTGCAGGTAATTATCCTGGGTAAATTGGGGAAAAAGAATACTGGTTTTCCCTTCCTTCCTCCGAGGCTTCACCTGGCTCTTGAGTGGATTTAGCCCCATGCCTGCTTGGCCGCAGGCAGGCTTGCAAGGGAATTTCACACCAGTGCAGCTCTAGTCTGAGTGCTGTGCTGTGCTAAGCCTGGCTGTGCAGCTTCTGGCTGAGCCTGCCTGCCTGCAGGGTACTGCAGAGTTTGCATTCATGTGGTCACTGTGCAGTTTTGTTCTCCTGAAGCTTCAAACAGCTGTAAACCCTGCCCTTGAGGCTGTTTCTTTTCTACAGGGGTCACCCAAGTGATTTACTCCTGGGTTTATCTGCTGGGTAAGCACAGTTGGTGTGGGCTTGTGTCATAGCAAAGACCAGCATCCACCTGGTTTTTGCACTTGATTTGTGCATATGGGTGAGCATTGTAGAATTCTTGTGCCGAGGTGCCCTCTGTTTCTTTTCCATTGGTTATGTCAGTTGGAAATCGTTTCGGAAGGGGAGTAGGGGATTGTTGCTATGCAGAAACCAGCATCCTCATCATGAGGCAGGTTGCTTCTGGCTGGTGTTAAAATTGGCTTTAATTTTTGTCCTTTACGTTACAGGACAAGCCATGCTGTGTAATACTGCAATTGACTAGTGGTGTATCCAGTTTTTGAAGTGTCAGACCTATATATTATAACAATTTATCACGTTCCACAGAACTGAATCCTGCTCTTCCAAAATGTGGTTGTAAAAGTATATTTATACATTGATATAAAAATGTTTTCATATATGTAATGTAAACTGTGTGTATATATTCACATGCATGCCTTATACTGAAACGTGTATAGTAACGTAATTGTAAAGGCGTTTTTACTTTTTAGTATGTAAACAGCAAATCCTGTTTCCTCAAAGACGATCAGTAGGAAAATCCCCTTTATGTTAGGTAAGGTGTTAATCTGTCACTCGTTATTAGTGTGATTGTTTTGTCATTTATAAACAACAAAGAAATTTGCATACTAGCTGTCAGGGGAAACTCTGTAAGGTAGAATGTTGTCCTGTAGGGGCAACAGAAAGTTACGTTTTTCTTAGTATCTCTTGACTTCAGCAGTAAAACAGCTTTGAGTTTGGATGCTCCCTGTGAAACTGAATACTGATATGTTAGTTTTATTGTTTTTCTTTTTTTTCTTTCTTTAGGCACCAGCACACGTGAATGGAGATCCTGTTTCCCCAGAAGGTATTTTTTCCCAAAAGCTATATAATTTCTCTAATAATGTGCTTAAAAAGTTGACATAGAAACTGTTGTAAGAAGGTATTTTGTGCACATGAGAATGATAAGTTACATCCTGTCAGACTGTAATGCCTGTCCCCTGTTAAATAGAACATGAAATTCATGGATAGTTAGTGGGAGAAGATTATTTTTGAGTAGGAGCAAAAGCATAGGCCAAATAAAAAGATGAGAAGACTAAATTTTTCTGTCACTGATCATGGAAGGCAAATGGATGACACTTACCCTTTTTCAAGGAGAAATGTTGCTTTGCCATAAGTTTTTGTCATTCCTCACAGTAGCTAACTAATCAAATAAACAGCTCCTTTTCCTAAAATTGACATAACCATACTTTTTAAGTGTAAGTCCTAAAGACAGAATTCTCTCTTTTCAATGTTATGACTGTTTTTCATGTTAACAGAACATGTGTCTGTCTTCAAGAAGTAAGAATGTATCCTAGATTTTCATTTTTGTTAACTACTGTTAAAAGAAGAGATTTTTCTACTGGCAGGAACAATAAAGAATGTGTACGTGCTTTTTGAGATGGAGGGAGTTACAGAAACACTAACTGAAACTTGGTCATGAGTCAAGTTCCAAATTGTTTGCAAAGTAATGTCTGTGTAGTCCATGTCATGGGAAAGCAAGTTGCATTCCATTTGCCCTTATATGGCATGCCAATAAATAGCAGCTATTTACTGAAGTATTACATCTCAGACCTCTGACAAGGAACTGAACATAAATAATCTGGCTGATCTTTGATGTTTTCCAGGGATGGTCACACCAGTGTTCTAACTTGTTGCAGGATTGTTCAGCCAAACTGTTAAAGTGAACAAATACTATTTTGAGGCCATGCTTTGCACAGGCTGGGGATGGAGCTTACCCAGAAGTATTGTTATAGGTAACATAATAATATAGATATAGCTGAAAGGGCAGCATATTGCTTTTTCAAGTGTTTGGGTATGGGTAGTTGTATAGAACTAACGTCATTCTTGATGTGTTTGGTTTTCTTTTTTCTTAGTTGATTCCTGGTACTTTTTCCCCAAGTGATCGTCAAAATGTTCTGAAGTTGCATCATCAAATCTTAAAGTCATCCCTTTTTTGAAGACCAGCAAAAGCACTAACTGTTGGGTTCCTGTTGAAACAACTTTCCAACTTGTGTAACCCTTCTCTCATGTAAATAAATATTGACATTATAAAATGAGTTTCCTTTCTGTGTCTGTGCAGGGTGGAGCAGAGGGAAGAGGAGGGCTTGCTTGCTTGCTTGTTTGTTTCTGAATCTCAGAATTCCAGAATTACTCTTATCCACTCAGGAAGTGTAGTATCAAATGAGACGGTCTTCAGCCGCCTTCTCCAGATTTTTGAATAATCCGTCCATCAGGTGCATAGAAGAGTGTTAAGTTCTATTTTAGAGCTTGTTTGGCCACCCTGACTGTAATCCATTTCAAGTAGACAGTAATCTTTATGTAATAGGCTTAGCAGTTTACCATGTTCTTTAATACACAACTGTGCACCATTTCCTGAGTTGTATTCACTTTTGTACCCAATTGTCTCTGCATGCTTCATAGAGTTAGGAGCAGAGCATATGTGCTTTAAAAAAACAAGTACAGCTTCACCCCAAAGACTAATTCAACTAGGAAGGGCTGATGCCATAACAATTGAACTAAGGATGCACGTGTGCTCTCTACATCCTGTTTTGTTAACTTTGTGTGTTTCATCACACAGGAAAGACTCTCCTTATGGAAAGCTTCCATTTTTAGAATTGTGTATGCATGAAGATTTTTGACAGCTCCTTGTTCAGTGAGACAAGATTAATAAAGTGTATAGAAGTGAACTTTGTGCTTTCATACTAAAAATAATCTGCCATTCTTTTCTACTGCAGGATTGTATCTGGCCTGGCTGTGCTCAGGGTATTCATGAAAAATAAAACCAAAAAAAGCCAACTGTTAAGTAGAAAGGGAGGAAATGGTAATATAGACAGACAGCTTTATCCAGCTTGTTACTGAGACCAGAGGTGAGCATCGTCTGCTTTGTGTGTGACTGAAACAAAAGGTTAATATTGCTGACACATGATGAAAATGGAAGATAATAAAGTGAAAAGGTTAGGCTGTGGCTTACCGTAGAGGACTAACTTTTCCTTACAAAAAGTAAGTTATTAGCAAGAAAGCTTTTGTCTTTGGGAATGTCTCCTTGATTTTTACGCAGATTTTCCTGGTTTAGAGACTTCCCTCTAGAGTACAGTGTCTAGTGTATAAGCACCAGTCACTTCAGAGGTCTCAGTTTGGGCCTCGGCACTTGGGAGTAGATGGAATAGTCCCCCTGCATAAAGTTTAGCATTCTTTTATACACAAAGTTTAGGTGTGGTATGAAAAACGCAACATAAACCTCAGAAGTCAAGGACTACTTTATTTTTTTTTTTAGTCAAGAGATACATTACATCCAACATACATTTACAGTACTGATTTCCCATACTTCAGAAATCTGAGTACATGCAGCCTTATACCTACAGATACAATGGCTAAATGTTTCCATGGCATCTTGGGTTCATGTGCAGAGATTGCTCTGGTTAGAGTGCAGGACGGCTGCTGTATTTACCCCTATAGTGGTACATCTGGGAGGCGTATTGTTCTGTAGAGTGCTTAGGGACAGCTGCACAATGAAGGGCACTATGTAAAATCAAATCACCTTCCCTGTACAGTTGTCACTGCTCTTCTATTTTTTTCTCTTTCAGGGGCATAGAATGAAAAGCTGTATGCATTTGAAAAAGTACAAACATACCCATGCTGAACTATTATGAGCTGGTCAGATCAGATTAGACTTGGGCAAGAAAATAACAAATAGTACTTGGGAAAGCTGAAAATTGAAGTGATTGGAAATGCCTACTACTATCATAAATTGAAAAATGTGAGAATATTTCTTACCTTATGGAGTATGTAACAGTATATAAACAGATGACTGTCTTGTCTTTAACAGGCAAAAGCTACTTTAAACATGTGTTTATGTACATTTTCTAAAGACTTCTCCCAAGTGGAATAAAAAGATGTACTGTTACATGTAGCCTTGCTGCTGAAATGTACTGAGTGCTACTGATGTGGATTTCAGAAATGAAGCATTATGAAATATCTGTGGAGAGAATGTCTGCAAATAAGAGGATTAGGGGGATGGGACAGAGAGACTAGAATGTATTTTTCACATCTCCTCAGGAAAAGCAAGTCTTGCAATAAACACTTTTTATTTTATTCTGGCTTTTTTTTCGCAGGCGAGTTCTTCTGGTTGTATTATATGCCTATATTGGTTTTAAAATTGGTTTCATTATAGTTGGAAGCTTAGTATAGCAGTGTCCACTTCTCAGTAGTTTTATGAAAAGAACTTTTTCATATCTGATACTAACGTTTCCTGGGAAGATGTTTTGAAGAGAAGTATTTTTATTTGCCTACCCAGGAAAGAAATCCATCTTAACTGTATTTGTTGTGTTGAATATGTAACACACATTGCTTTCAGGGACAACTTTGCATCTCTCTTTCCTCTTTGTCTGTTTTGGAGTGAAAGGAGAGGTTACTTCCCTCTTCGCCCTCCCCCTGTTGTGATGACGAAGGCTATTTTTACATATATAAATCATTAGCTGCTGCTCAAAATAGTGCCTTTGATTGACATGGAGTCCACACTTCAGTCCCCCAGTTGGGGTTGGAGTTTTACGTATGTGGAAATAATGTTCATTATTCTTCAAAGTGTGGAAATAAAAGGACTGTGAAAATAGTACGCTGTTGGCACTGTTAGGATGTTATTTTCATGCTGTTAGTAACAACAGATATCATCTGAAAACCCCCAAAAGAATATAAAGTAATTCTGTAACGTGTTTGGGAGAATTGCTCATAGATGTCATGCAAGGGGAGTGCCTTATGATAACTTGCCTGTGGTTGCCACTTCTATTAACACTTGAGAACTATGGCATGAAGCAGTTCTAAACTGACCAAAGTATTATTTCGTCCTGTTTCTCTTTGCTTTCACTAGGATTGAATCTTTTTAATGTGTTGTAGTTCAATTTTAGTCAAGTTAAAAGGCAAAACTAATGTTAAGTTGGTAGGGTGCACAATTTTTTCTGCCCTTGCTGTGAAGGTGATTTTTTAACCAGGTTTGGTAACCTGGGTTCTTTCTACCCCCTGAGGATAAGAGATCTGGGATGTAGAGAACAAAAAAGTGAAGTTAGCTGGAAGAGAAAAGAAAGAATGGAAGACATCTGGGTGGTTCAGTCCAATAAAAGTAATGAGTAGAACATTAAATAGGAGCGTTTGAAATGCTTTAAAACAATTTTGCCTAAATATTTCAGCAGTATGTAACTGCTGATTTCATGTGTCCAGAGAGGTCAATGGGATGCATTTGCCAAGGAAGAACAATATTTACCTACCACACAGCAGTTCGAATTGTAAGCATCTCTCTTGAGCTGAAGAGACTAAGTGTAGTCATTGAAATGGCTGCACTTCATAGCTGTTACTAGCTTTATGCTCATTTATTGCTAGATGTATCAGGACAGCGATATTGGAATGTTATGAAACTGGTTTGTCTACTCTATCTGACTGTTTGCTGCTATTACAACTACATGTTCGGGATTTTCCTTAAACATTTTATACTTCACATTGTAAATATGCCTAAGAGTAAACATCTACCAGGTGTCTAAAGCCCTAGGTTGGAATACAAAGAATTAACTTTAAATTCTGCTTTTACATAGTGTACGTTCTGGGCTTGGGCAGACCTTGTAATCTTTATGCTACCTGTAAAATGGGTAGAAAAGTTTCTTCTGTGAGTGTTCTGATTTCTTCCTGAGACTTGACACTTTCCCAGCACTGCGAAGGGAGCTCCTTCCAGTGTCTAGGAAAATGTAGGATACTTTCAGCTTTGTTTACAGTGAGAAAGTTAGCTATACTGACAGGCTTTCTGAAGGATTTGACTGAAGATGCAGGCTTGCTAGTCAGACTGAGGATTGTCTGATGAAGAGTGAAAAGAGCATCAATGGTGGTGAAAGTTCAAGGTGTAAATTGGCATCTTTGTCCTTGTGGGTTCTGCAGGAGACTAAATTCTTAAGTGGGTCTTTAAGTCCCCTCATGGCCTATGTGTGGTGTTTCTGGAGTGCAGAAAAGCGAGTTTCAAAGCATAACTCATGACCACCAGGGAGTTCTGAGCATTTTAACACTAAATCATAGGAGATCTGGGAACAAAGCTGGTTTAAGAGTCAAAGTGAAAATATCCTGCTAGTTCTTGCTATTTAGAAGACCTACTATGTGCTAAAAATCATGTCTAGCTAAGCAGTATTTGGCAGCGTGCTCTCCCTGGAGAACTAGGATGAGAGAGAAGGTACAGTCAGGTGAGGACAAAATTCCCCTGACAGCTGTTCACTGAAGTTTACTTATTGTCTCATTATTGCCTTGCTTTAATTAGATTATTCATTCCTTGTATGTGATGATTTGGGAATCAAGAATTCATAGGCCTTTACTTGGGCAGTTTTCTGACTCGGACAAACCACGTAAACCTCTCTGTTGCCTTTTTTGTATCTATAAATAGGGACAATATGTTGATTTTACAGTAGTGCTGTGGGCATAAGTTGCTTAAAAACTTTAAACATCATTACTAACACATGTCTCTCAGACCCTATAGGCTGGCAGCACAAAGCTTCTGAGTGTTCAGACAAGTGGAGTTTTGGAATCCTGTCTAAGAAAGTTCTATAGCTATGTGTATGTGAAAGGGAAATCATGCAAGAGAAAAAGAGTCAGGGTAAGAGGAGGGCAGCTGAGCCAGGGTCACTGTGAAGTGCATATGAAAAGAAAGTTGTAGCTTGTTGTTCAACTAACTGGGAGAACAAGAAGAGAACGAGGGGACTCAAATGTTGGAAAGGAAGTGGCATCTTATCCTAATACAAGAAGAGATTTGAGATTCATGTTTCTGTGGACCTAAGTGTCATCGGAACATCTTTGTTACCTACCAACTGTGTAATGGTGTTGCTCCTGATGATAATCTGCTTTGTAAAAGTAGCTCTCTGATTCACTTAGTGTTCTATCTTGAGCTGGAATGGTTTGTGGGACCTCCAACTGAAATGCAAATGAGCCCTAAATGTTTCTTCAGCTCACGCTTCTTGGAAGAAGTGACAAGATTCTTGAAGATCTCACCATACCATTTCTGTGATGTGCAAGCTCTTTGTTATATAC